CAATAGTTTAAGACGGTTTATGACTAATCGCAAATTGACTCGTAAACGCTCAGCTTTAAATCCAGAGCCCAGCATGCTGTGCTGTTCCTCCTGGAAAAAAATAAACACAGTTACTACTTTCAAGCTGAAATTATTCCAGTTAGAGGGTGGATTAGCTGACAGTATAAACCAGAATGGTTTCCTAATACAGGCAAAACAACATGATCTGATTCACATTTCTTGAAGATCATTTTGGTTTGTGTAGAGAACTGATTGGGGGAGGATAATAATAGAAGCAAGAGGACCAAGGAGAGAAGGCTATTACTATAGTCCAGACAAGAGATGGAAATACCTTAGACTAGGGTAGCATGACTTGATTTGAGATCTAGCTTGAAGGCAGAACTAAAAGAATCTGGTAATGGATAAAATGAGTATCTATATATTGGTGTAGGAGTGGGTTGATAAAAAGACAAAGCAGCAGGGGCACCTGAGTGGCTCAGTCGTTAAGCGTCTGCCTTCAGCTCAGGTCATGATCCCAGGATCCTGGGATCGAGCCCTGCATCGGGCTCCCCGCTCAGCGGGAAGCCTGCTTCTCCCTCTCCCACTCCCCCTGCTTGTGTTCCTGCTCTCGCTCGCTCTGTTAAATAAATAAAGTCTCTAAAAAAAAAAAAAAAAAAAAAAAAGACAAAGCAGCAGCAGGAAGGACTCCTACCTGTCCCAAAAATCTCATCAGGGCAGTGATGAGGAGAGACTATCATATTTAGAACCAAATTCAAAAATATTCTCCCATTAGTTCCTCAAGTCCTCCTACTAAGTCTCAGCCTGTGGGAAAAAGCCAGTGCCCAAGATCACAAAAATATTAATATTTACTGACTTGCAAAGAAATATACAAAGGGATGAAAAATCCAAGAAAAAAACTGCTCTATAAAATTTAACAGAAGGCTATTTACCAAGACTCTGAATGAACAGCAAAGTTATAGTCAACAAAACCACTCCCCTCCACCCACAAGGGGGTATACCATTGTGCATTTCATATTGAGACAGCGCAAATTCTATGTCTCCCAATGAATTCTGGACTTGAACTTCAAAACATACAACATCCAAACAAAAGCTAGGTCTAATAAACTAATCAATAAAAAGACAAACCAAAAAAGATATCCAATGTAAGGAAAAACACTAGGGATATTTGTCCGCTTGTGCATAAACCACTAATAACCTCCAGAAGCCTTTATATATTTAATAATTAACCTAAGTCTCAGTTTACAACGGGGCTTGTATGTCATGAACTATCTGGGAACCATTACACTGAATTATATTCAACCCACTCAACAAATACCGATTATTTCTACATCAGACAATAGCTAAATGCTGAAGATTTACAAAAAAAAAGTACAGTCCTTGCCCTCAAAGGAACTTATATTCTATTGGAAAAAAACAGCTTAAGAAAATCTGGCAACTATAATACTATTTGGTAAAAAGTGTAATTTTAGAGTGGTTCTCAACTGAAAGAGACTTTGTCCCATATGGGACATTTGGCAATGACTGGAGACATGCTGGGTTGTCACGATTGGAAAGGATGCTACTGGCATCTGGTGGGTAGATGCCAGGAATACTGCTGCTAAACATTCTACAATCAACAGGACAGTCCCCCACAACAAAAAAATTATCCAGCCCAAATGTCAGTAGTGCCAAGATTAAAAAACCTAATTCTAGAGAAAAGACACCCAATCTGAGAGACATTACAGAATACCTTCCAGGAGAAGGAAAGTCTAAGTTGGGTCCTAAAGGACAAACAAATTAAGTATAAGGTAAAAAGAGGATGTGACTACCCCAGGCAGAGGAAGTGCTGTATCTAAACTCCAGGTACCAGAGAGAACAAGAAACTTTCAGAGGAACACAAGTTCAGTACAGGTGAAGAATGGCATTAACTACAGTTTATGCCATAATATCTCTCACAATCATAAATTCAAAACTTTAATTTGACAATTATTTATAAGAGAACAGGTGCTGTGGTAGGTTCTGGTGCTAACTAGATCCAGACAATATCCTTGTTTTCAAGGCCTTCATAACCAAAGATGGATCGGACAACCAGAAAAACAGTAATTAGTACTATCATTTGCCGTACCAGGCACTGGCCCAGGATCAACCAGCAACTAAGTGGCAGAATGAAGAATAAAATCTAAGTGCATCTAAACTCAAAACCCAAGTAAACAATCTTAATCATATGCTCCTATAGCATTTCAGCACAAAAAATTATACTATTTCTTTTTCAATCCCTTTCAACAAATATTCTTTGATTGTCTACAATACTGTGACAGGAGCTAGATACACTGGCACTGAAAAACAGACATGGTTATTGCCCTCATGGAGTTCACAGTCTAGTTAGAGAAAACTATCACCTCAGTAACTATAAAATAACAAGTAAGTAAATAAGTGCTGCTCTGGAGTTTATTATAAGGGGTTAACTTCTTTGGCCATTTGCTTGGATACTGTTTCGAAGATAAAAGATAACAAAATCAGGGGTTACTGTAGAGTCACAAGGTATGACAGAAAAATGTCATGATTTCTCTGTGGTTCTTAACTAATCTATAAGCATTGATTTTGTGATGCATCAATATATATGAGAACTAAACTTCAGTATTATAAATATTTTCAAAAGGCTTAAAAACATATACATTTTGACCTATTAATTCTACTCCTAGGAACTTAGTCTAAAGAAACAGAGCTTCATTCAGACTTTTATATAAAAATATTTATCAGCACATTTTAAGACCAAAAAATTACAATAATGAAATATTGCTTATTAAACTATAGTATATCTGTGATGGAATTTTATGTAGCCATTAAATATTTAAAAAGTATTTACTGATGTGAAAATATATCAATGATATTAGTTGAAAAGGCAGGAATACATATATGAAGTATGACCCCAAATTCTGAGTTTAAAAAAGCAAATATACATATAAACAAAGGCTGGACTAAAAAGAAAAAAGATTTAATTATTACTGTAAATAAACTCTTTCCAAACCCAATGAGTTAAGACTAACAGGAGAGTTAATATTAAAAACCAAACCCACCTCAGAAAGCAAAGAATTTAGAATTTCTATTAAGACAAATAATAGGGGCGCCTGGGTGGCTCAGTCATTAAGTGTCTGCCTTCGGCTCAGGTCATGATCCCAGGGTCCTGGGATCGAGTCCCGCATCGGGCTCCCTGCTCGGCGGGGAGTCTGCTTCTCCTCCCTCTCCTGCTCTGTTTCTCATTCTCTCTCTCTCAAATAAATAAATAAAATCTTTAAAAAAAAAAAAAAAGAAAGAAAGAAAAACAAAGTATTAACTCATCAGAAAACAATAACCAAGATCACCTTATCGTAAGTGGAATATATGTGGAATCTGAAAAAAAAACAACCACCCACACGCTCATAGATACAGAGAACAGACTGGTGGTTGCCAGAGGTGGGTGGCAGAGAATGTCAAAAACTACAAACAAAAATAAGTACGGTGCATTACTGAGCACCAAAAAAGTGCTTACAATTGTCCAGTAATTTATGACCATCTCCTTTGACAAATAAACATTAAAAAGAAAGTACATGCACACTGTGTGCAAGGCCTATGATGAAGAGCTAATGCAAGAAAAGGAGCACAGAGGAGAAATCTCACTGCGTGCCAGGTCCTGGCCTTCATATCCATCAGCTCATCTGTCTCACCACAGATGAGTGGCAAGATTTGGGTTCAAAGCCCAAATGCAACATTACCCACACAGGGTGACCACTTAGCAAAAATATTACAACTGCGATTAAAAATGTAAACACGGTCTTGATAACCCTCCTAACTCAGATGCTCTTCCATCAAGGGCCAGCGCAAGGGGAGAGCTATGAAGGAGAACATCCATTCTGCCATGGAGCTCTGGGAAGCTTCCAAGAAGAGAAGGGATGTGCACTAGGCTTGAAGTGTAAAGAGGACTCTATAGACAAGCAATGCAGCAAAGGTTAACAGAGGCTTGATTATCAATCCTAACTTCTGTTCTTAATAGCCTTTGCCCATGCCATTTAACTACTCTGAGCATCATTTTCCTTACCTTTAAGATGAAGGCAATAGCAAATATCACTAAACAAACATAAGAACAAACTAACAATTCCTATCAGGCACTCTCCTATGCACAAAGCAACAGCCACATGCCTTAGCAGAAAGCAAAATAGGCAACACAGTTTGTGGAGGACAAAAGAGGAAAACTAGCAGCACGTCTACTATGGATGTAAAACCACAACCAGAAATAAAAAGTCCCCTAGCTTTTTACGGCCAGAGACAAATGCCCAGACTCCTAAGAAGGAACACTAAAGTGCATTTGAAATGCACAAATCAAGTCTTGGAAAGGGAATGCCTGAGGGAGAAGAATTTTAGAAGGAAGGGAGAGGAACCCTTTAGAAAACTATGCTGAAGGGGAAAAGGGGCAAAGGGAGAGTTCTCTGTCAGGAACAAGAAACTTTTTTTAAAAGTCAAAGGAGGGACACCTGGGTGGCTCAGTAGGTTAAGTAGGTTCAGCTTAGGTCATGATCCCAGGGTCCTGGGATCGAGTCCTGCATCGGGCTCCTTGATCAGAAGGGAGCCTGCTTCTCCCTCTGCCTGCTACTACCCATGCTTGTGTTCTTGCTCTGACAAATAAATAAATAAAATCTTAAAAAAATAATAAAATAAAGGGACACCTGGGTGGCTCTGTCATTTAAGCGGCTGCCTTTGGCTCAGGTCATGATCCCGGGGTCCTGGGATCAAGTCCCATCAGGCTCCTTGCTCAGCAGGGAGCCTGCTTCTCCCTCTGCCTGCCGCTCCCCCTGCTTGTACTCTCTACAAATAAAATCTTAAAAAAAAAAAAAAAAGTCAAAGCAAACACAATACATCTCCCCATCTCAAAAAAAAGCAAAAGTTAATGAGGACATGAAAAGAAAAGAGTAGAGCTGATTAATACATATTTAGGAAAATTAAGATTACCAAAAAAAATTAATTCATCAGAATAGGTATTTAAAGTGAGCCAGACACTGAAAGACACATGTTAACAGAGGAAATGGGTAACAAAGGAGTGGTTTTAGCAACATGAAATGCTAGAGGGTGTAAAGACA